TCCAGCCTTATCTACTCTTTTTCTTGCTAACCCAAAAGCAGTCACCTCATACACTCACTCACTGATTACTCTCTCAAAAGAACCCCTTGCCGCTTTTATGTCTCACCTCTGGGCACAGCCAAAAATGATGACATGTGCAGCTCCTTTCCCCTCTCACCCTCACGTCCAAACCGTCCCAGGGCGGCGTCCCGATGGAACGATATGACGATGACGAGAACGGCTCTCGGCTCCGACATCGAGCCTCGGCACCTGTCGCCCAATCCACGTTCGCCTCTCGCGCGATATTCTCTCGCACGAGAGGGCCCTTTCCTTATCGTTATCGTTATCGCTTCCCCTTATCACCGTCATCCCAGCAAAAAGCTGGGGAAAGAAGCCGTGATTATCCGAGTGACTTCTACCGTGCGTACAGTGTCGGTATGGAACAACTCGTGCGTAACCCGTTCTTCGTACAGTACAGCGGTCAAACCGACATTACCCGATCAATTGTAACGGAGACGAGGTGAGGTAACTCTGCCGTTGTCCGCAAGGATGCCGAGGTCGAATACCTTGTCGTTGGCAGAGCTCACCGAGAAAATCAAGAGATGCCGCGGGAGGATGGAGAGTCCTCTTAAATAATACTGTAAGTGCCCTACAAATTTTGGATGCGAGGCTGGAACTATCCATTGGCCGCAGCATGATCTCATACTATGTGGTATTTGCTATATCAATACCAGCAGCAACAGCAATAGCAATGACAGTGCCAATGTAACACAACATAACCATCGTCGCTCAGTACATTACATTTACTACTAGTAGTGCTACTTCCTAAGAAGGATATCCACGTTTGCTTGGGACGACTACAGTTCGTCTTCACGTGCCAGTATCTCACATGATCGGATCACCAAGAACCAGAGAACGGGAATATAGCTCGGGAGTAATGCTATCTATGACGTTATGCTGTACAAGTATAACAAGAAGTACTTTGTATACAGCAGGCAAAAGAGCTAGGCCCCACGGCCCCAAGCCCTTCGTTGACCTTGACCAAATCATGACTCCTCCGTACAACTGTGTGCGAAAAGATCCAGACTCATCCTCCATTATTTTAAGCTTATTACAACTTCGATACCCTAGGCTTTCAATGACCCATCTCTCCGGGAATGCTCGGCCCGAAGCTGGGTCTAAATTGGTCGGTTCAAGGAGGCCTCAAGTAAGGGGTAGCTTTTTAGCACGTTTAAAATACTAGTCCCTTAACATCTTTCAATTGGGAGAACTACTGTACTCGTCTTGTCGCCTACCAATGGGCAGTGCTCTGCAAATAAACATCAATCAATTATCTCCCGATATCTCATAATAACTCAACTAAAACTAATTCGATATGAGCGACGACAACACACACAACTCAGGTATTTTTGAATTTGTTGTTGACAAGGATACAGGTGACGTCTACCCTGTGAAGCATTCCCCTCCATTCCTCCTTTGATCACAAAGGATAAAATCCCTTCCCTTCTAAACTCTATAATAAAGCTTTAGAGAACTAAGATCAGCTTACTAAGGCCAAGAAGAACTACTTTGAGCCATGGCGGTCTAGCTAGTAAGACATTAGCATATTCCATCATCGGTTGACTGAAGTAGAACACGAATATGGTCTTGCATTGTCCATCTACCAACATTGCTCATTTTAAAATTTAACACGCGATAAAAGAAAAAATTATGATAACTATCACCGAATTAGCTACAAAGGTACGCAAATATAGTAAAACCCTTATTATGATATAATCTGTTAGAGTTCTCTGTTTTAAGCTGCTAGATTCAGTTAACTCCGTCGGTGTTTCATGCAACCCTCCATTGCTCGCTAACTGCTCATGTGCTCATGACGCTCTGGTATGGACAATAAAGACGATACACGGCCTATTAAGCCTCCCAGTACATCTCTGGCTCATTTCCTGGTATCTCCTGATACCCCTATTATCAAGGTGTGCCTCAGAGTCATTTGTTAGAATGTCTCCCTCCTACGCCAGGCAGATCTCATTTTCATGCTCTTTTTCCTTGGTTAATTCATTGCACGCCCCATCTTAGTTCCTACAATGTGTGACAACTACCATGAAGAGGAGGCGGAACCGGTTCACAAGAAAGATGGATGGGCACAATAGTTTCGAGACACACAGGTTCGTGAAATAACTCTTGAGAGCATATCCTCGTATGAATGCCCAGATGGATAATACCACCGATTCAACACTCTATCTTTTAAGTTAGTTAAGTAATTAAGATCATAATTCAAAGCTAGCAACCTTATAACATTAGTAACTTTATCTTGCTATAGCTGAGTAGAGCTATGCTACTCTAATTCGTTTACTAAGTCTCCCCGCAAGCCTATTTTAGAATCTTTATCTATAACTTCCCTTAAACTGCAAACCATATTTATCTACAAGTTCAGAAAAATCTTGTTCTGCAACGTCTTATCTCTTCCATCTTCCACGACAACACTAATTCAACAATGGCACCAATAAGGAGCTTACCGATACGAGATTATAGACACTATGCTGTTACATCTCCTCTTCTTCAGCTACACAGAGACCAAACACAGCTCTTTGACAAACTTGTCAACATGATCTTCAACTCTCTTGAAGACGACTATTACCTCAGCTTAGATTCATTCCCAGCGAGCCAACATAAAGAAACCCCACGACAGAGGGAACAACGAAACACCATGGTGCAAGAATGGCGAGGAGATTTTGAGCGACTGGGCGTGGACTGGCCAGTTAAGGAGACAGTGAAGATCAATACACTTAATCCTTTATTTTATGCGATATGGAACATTAATTGGCGCTATCCGATATCTTCCTCAGCTACACAAGCTTCTTCTGTGACGAATAGTGTACAGCCGGCAGGTGACAAAGACAGCAGACAGCTATTTGGGAATATTCAGCCAGTAGAGATCTTGGAATATGCACTTTCAAAGATTAGAGAACTCCAAGCTGCTAGATATGGCAAACTTCTAACTTCTCGAGATGACTGGGTTACGTTATTGAGTAGCTACATACAAAAATCTGTTTGGCAATTATGCCGAAAGCCACATATCTCACGCCAAGAGTACGTTGTCTGGTACATTATACTCTAATTAGACAAAATATTAATCTTATGTCTAGCCTTATCAATATTGGAGGAGATCTCGATTGTCACCACCCTGCTGTCTATCTTCATATCATATGGCATCCTGATGATGACAAAGAAGAATTCTTGTTATACGTTGGTCAGAGCATTGATCTTAAAGCCCGGCTAAAGGATCACATGAATCCGTTAAATAGAAATAAACATCCTAGCCTTCACTACCACGCTTGGGATTCACGCCCCGGGAATCTCTCAGCATTTGTTGTCCTTGCCTATCTGGACGATGTTAGAACAGACAATTCTTCTACAGATACCAAAGATGATCTGCTTAAGATGAATATCATGGAACTTTGGGGAACACTTATATTTCAAACCTTGCCGGAACGAGAACTTGAAAATACCTGAATCCAACAACAATTATTAGGAGGCAGCATCTCAATGTCTTTAATCCTTTATGGCAGGGCGTTTCCAACTTGGATGATGTGTTTCCTAATCTTTCCAGGAAAGAAAGGTTTACTAAATTACTACGTGGAGCAGACGATATTACACGCTCGTATTATTACTCTCTAAGAGATGAGTTTTTTGAACTTAAAAACTCGCCAAATCCTGCTTTGAGAGCATACTACAACGCACGACGAGAGCTGCGGTTAGCAGCCTTAGCAGATGCCAATGCTAAAAAAGTTGCACGAGTATTCGAGGAACTAATAGGTGGATGCGAAAAAGTAGTTGGTTCATACACGAATGGCTTTTCCTACTACATTAGCTTTGGTAGTGTTTCTTTCCGCATATCCAAAACAAGATATCCGAGAATAGTACCAGGCATGAGAGTTTTTGCACAAGGGATTTTATATGAAGGCACAGCACGCGCATGCTATTGCACTGAGACACAATCATCAGATCCCGCAAGACGATTTTGCCTAAGGATTACAGGATCAAGTATGAGCCAGCCTTTTACATATTTTGTACAAGCTGGAGGCGACATCACTACTCAATAGATCAACGCTCTTGTTGATTTACTAGATGGACATAAGAAAGAGGACATCATTAATCGACCACGTCGCCTACTGCCATGGCGATACGCCCTAGAGCGTTTTCAGACAAAGAAGGTGCAAAATGCCATCCCAGGCCCCCGAACTGTACCCTAGTATATTTCCGACGGCCTCGGACTGATAGCAACTAAAACTGTCCCCGAATTTTAGGACGGCCCAATGTACGGATGTGACGACTCGCGGCGCGAACGTTTTCGTTACTCGCTCAAACCGGGCCTTCTTGAGATTCTCCTGCATCTATTGTCTAGCTTTCTTAATGGTTACATGCATAAGCCCCTGCATAGAACGAGTCTTGCCGGATGTCAAGTAGAAAACGTGCCCATATCTTCCAATAAACAAGTAGATCAACAAGTTCTAAAGGAGAGAATATAGTGACAAGAATTGGACTATAATGGATATAGAGGAGTCACATGAAAGTATTACCGCATTTCAGGTTAAGGCTTTTACATTTCGATCTTGCTTCTATACTCTGTTACGGAATTTTTACTCCGTAAGGATGGGGTGGCTACAGCCAAGTGCAAAAGCAGCCTGGCGCGAAATGTTATGATCTTAACAGTTGGATGACAATGGTAGCCTTTATGAGTGTCGGGAGGTGAGGTGCCTCTTGAGGACTGTACCTCTTTGTTAAGAGGCTTTATTCTATATTAGAAGTAACCTCACTTAATTTGATCACCCTTTTGACAAGCTCTGCACGCGTGATTGAACTTTCAGCGTCCCGGATATTGACCTAGTAGAACGTCCCATGACCAAACAAACGCCAGTCTCAATAAGCGAGCGATACAGACCAGGAGTCAAGACATGTAACATTATTATCTCGCCCGAGAGGTTAAATGGATACAAAAGAATATAAAAAAAATTTGTGGATGCAACCGCCGTGAATCGAACACGAACCTGATAGTGTAAATGTAAGTATGAGTATATTACAAAGTTTGTATTAAATAGACTAACCTCCACCTATCATTGATATGGAAGGGTGGAATCCTAACCATTGGACCACGGAAGCCAGTTGTTAGTGAACTGCAGCTTGTCTTAGCTTATATACTTTAATTAATTCGGCTGGATCACGTGCGGCTGTGCACCAGCGTACCTCTCGAGGTCTTACGGTGTTCTCGATTTTATGTCTTACATAGCAGCCATTTAACTATCTATAAAAAAGGGGATATGAAAACACTATGCCCTCAATTCCCAAGATATAGACCCCGTAGATCGCTTCCCGATTGACCACATTATCCTCCCAAGTCCTACCCATAAACTCACTCGCTGTCCTCCATGGTATCACCTATAGAGACCTCAATGACGCCAAACACCAACTTTTCCCAAGGTTCCTCATATCGTACAGGCTAAAGGAATACCACATCCTTTTGATGTGTAACAAAGAGCCAATTAAGGCAAATGCGGAGAGAGAGCGCTGCCATCAGCTCATCACCGAGCAGCAACCATCGCCTTGCGTATGCTCAGGATCTTTCTAACATCGAGCTTCCGGTAATCTTCTGGCATGTACTCTCCGCTTGCAATGCACAGTACCCTCATGCGTTTGTCGTACCGCAATCCCGTAAGCAGCTTAGGCGTGATTAGGAAGTACTGGCTCGTGTGCTCCTTGCATGCGATTTCTACCATACGCTCGTGCACCATGCGCTCGTTGCGGGGATCCATGCCCTGGTTGATCTCATCCACCACTCGGAATGGAGCGCGTGCGAGAGCTTGAAGAGCCATGAGGTAGAAGATAGTTGAGACAGAACGCTCACCACCAGATTGACGGTGGGCATCGAGGAGTTGTAGAGTCTCGTTTTCTCTAGACAGGCAAAAAATTAGTTACATGTTCAAATGAAGTGAATGTCGAGATGCCTACCTGAACTTAACCTTAATCTCAATGGACCACAGGTCAAAGTCTTCATCCTTATGTATACCCACTTCACCAGCACATCCAATCTGCTCAAAATTGTACGAGAATGCATCGCTGATTTGTGTGATCAGTTGGTCGAGCTCCGGCTCCCACTCACTGCGGATCCTCGTAATTTCTGAGGCAAGCTTCTCGAGTCTCTTGCCCATTTGCTTGATCTTCTCTGTCAGTTTGTCAATATCAACTTGTCGTCTCTCAAAGTCCCTAATTGCATTGGGGTTGCCAGCATGGATAAATTCCAGCTTCGCCTGTTCCGCAGATATATCCTGCTGCAGAGTCTCCACTGTCAACGCTGGATCCAGGTTTGCGAAATACTCCGTAGTCTCTCTATCACATTGAGCTTGAATCTCTTGGCAAAGTTTTAGCCTTTCTCTTGCTTCTTTCTTTGCCTGCTCAGATATCTGCTCGGCTTCCTTGACTAGAGCTCGCTCTTCTTCTAACTGCCTCGCGATACCTTGGTTATGCACGATCAAGGAGTCGACGTCGGATTTTGCCTCAATTCCCCTAACCTCCGCCTCAAGGAGTTCCTCATGGGCTTGACGCAGCTCGTCAACCACTTCTTTTAGGTCCATAGCGTACTTCGACTTCCGAAGAACAGCATGATCATGCTGGATGCTTATTTTCTTCACTGCCTGCCGGATTTCCAGCGCAGCACGTTCATTTTGTTCCAGAACATCCTCCTCAGATGCTAGTGTGAATTAGTACAGGATTTCAGGCGAAGTATGAGCAGACTGAATACTTACCGATTTGGTCAGGAATGGCTTCCCAAGCACCTCTGGCTCTTTGCTCATCGGCCTTTTGTTCTTTGAGCTCATTCTAGGTAGATTCTGTAAATATATGAGTATTCAGCTAGCAGTCGCAGAACTTACAGCTTCCTTATTTAATTTCTCCTTCTCCTCCTCTAAGCTAACTTTCTTGTCATGGAAAGGCTTGGCTTGTCCTTTGTACTCATCATATTCGCGCTTCAAATTAGATATTCTCTCTTCGATTTGCCGCCTTGCTGACACATCAACGGGGCGATCAGACCAGTACTTCGCAGGACGAGTTGTCCGCGTCATGGTTGAGACTGCGGAAGGGCCATATTCTGGTCGGGTTGAGACTCTATAATACTGTCTTCCCGCAACCCACATGTTAGGATTGCATTTTCTTTGCAAGTTTAACTGATATTGCTCCTCAGAAATATCCTTGAGTCCCACTCCGATCATATTGATTCTCTGACTATCACAAAGCATAGTAAGGACTGGCTCCGGGCCTTCAATAAAATCCAAAGCCCAGCCGTCGAGGCCACATCGTCTCAAGTCTTCGTTGGATGTTGGCCTGGAGTGTTCACTGAGAGAACCTGAACTACCTCTAATAGTAACATCAGCGAGACCCATCGTGCCACACAACTGATCAGTCAATTTCTTGACATCGGCGCGGGTCTGAGCTGTGATGCAAATGAGATCGCTTCTTTGTAGGACTGATTCGATTTGATCCACGTATCTCCTATCTTTAACAGAGCATGAAATTATAGGAGGACCACATATTTCTTTTTCAAATTCGGATTGATGCTTCTCAATCCATGCCCAGGCTTGGGCTGTTTCTGCCGATACTGCTCGAACCTTGGCTAGTTGCTGACCTGCTTGACTGTCGAAACTCTCAAGTTCGACTTTGGCCTCTTTCAGTTGATTAGCAGTGTGTGTTGCGCGGGTTACAAACTCCTCGTAACTTGCTTGGAGCCCTTGGATTTCACCATTCTTTTGTCGTGCTTCATGCTCTTTTTCCCTCTAAGCAGTTGTTAGCCAGCTAAAGGAGAAGTAGACTAGATAGTGCACCTACAATACGATCATTCCATGCGGCAGCATCAAACTCCGGAGGGGCATTTTGTAAGTTTGCTTTCAAAGTAACAATTTTTCTCTGTATTTGTATCTTTGTAGCCTTCCTCTTCTTGTCCTTTTCCAACTCCGTGTTTCGATCGTTTTCCATGTCCTTTATACTGTCGTCTAGCTTTTCAACTGTTTCAATAATGCCACCTGCTTTTCTTTCCACTCTCCGAATACGATCTTTCCGTTCTTCCACCACTTGAAGAATCTTGCCATAATAATCCTGTTTTGCATTCACCGATCTCATGGTTGGTTCAACCTGGGCCTCCAATTCACGAAGACGGCGCTGTGCAGCAACCTTTTTCTCCTTGTAGTCAATATGCTTAAGTCGGGCAACTCTGTACTCAACGAAGGGTACACTCTTTTGTAATAGCGCAACCTTCTCTTCAATCTGTTGTCTCTCTTCTAATCTAGCAACCTCAGCACGTAAACCTTCTTGACGGGTTTCCAGATTGGCAAGAGTTTCCTTGTCTGTCTCCACCTGTTCCTGGAATGCTTTTTGATCCTTCCGGAGCTTCTTTAGTTCTTCATGCCATTCCAACATTTGTGGGGGCGCTGCTGCTCTTTGCGTCTGTTGTAATAACTCAACAGGAGAGAGAGCTGCAAACTCTGAGACTTTATCCTGAGGTAAAAACTGGCATAAATTGTCAATTTGAATGCTGAAACTGTTTGTCAACTTCTGGATGTGCTTCAGGTTGGTTTTTCGGTCGTTTAACCACCATTCACGCTGATCTCCATCTCGAATTATTCGTAGTCTCACAACCGGATTCTCCGGATCCTTACTGCGTTTCTGAAGTTCTACTTCGATGAAGGCATCATCCATGCCATGTTTAACAAACTCTCCGATTTTGGTCGCTCGTCCAAGGACTGACGGAGGCCACCCAAGACCCAAACAGATTGCGCAGACCAAAGAGCTCTTTCCCGTTCCGTTGGGCCCAATCACCATATTCAAGTTAGGTCCAGGGTGAAATTCAGCCTTCTCGTAGGTCACAAAATTGTTAAGTTTAACTCGAACAATAGCACCTGGTTGGAACCCATTCTCTCCTCTCTCGCCTAGGCCATTTGGTAACGTCTGAGGCTCCTCTGCCTCGTCCTCCGAGTCGTCATCCACTTCGTGGCCCCGAGGGCGTTTAGGGGGCGTTGAACCTGGTGTTCTTCCGTTAACAGCATCGCTGTCGCCTTCTTCGTCCTCAAATACTGAGCGCGATCGCCGCCTTTGGGGAAGAGCTTCCGACAACATCCCTTCTCTATCAGTTGATATGGCGCTTTGTCGGGACTCGAACTGCTGAATGTTGAATAATCTTGGCGCCTTTGACGCGCGACGGACGCGTCTGCAGGGTTCGGCTAGTACACCCCTCTAAAGTGTTTTTAGTTGACACCTTGGCGTACCTGAGGATAGATATCTTTGACCATGGATACTTGCAAAGAGGTATTATTGCAGCCCAGCTTTTTGTTGTGAAATCCAGTATTCGACCCCGATCTACAAAAAGGGCTATGCAAGAAAATATTTCATACTTTTAACTCCTGGGACTGTTCCATGAAAGAATCTCTCTGTGGCTCTTTCCATCAAGTTCTGTCTACCTACCAAGAAAATCTTCAAGAGAATTGTTTTCGTGACTTGCTAGTTTCGAAGGTAAAATTTAACTCGTTTTCTTGTTCTCGCTTTTATCCAGTAGCTATCTCATCTGGTTCAGAGTCATTGTAAAGTTCAATCTCTGGGATAACAGAGATAGATCCAGTCCCTTCTATCCCTTGCTTTTCTTGTTATACCATCAGCACCTCAAGTGAGTATGTCTGTGTTCAATCTACAGTATCACGCTTGATATTCAACATAGAAAATGAAGTAAGTCTTGCCTTGTTCTCCATTAAATTTAGCTTAAAAAACATTGCCTTTGATTTGAAGTATAAACAGCTAGGCCATGAATAAACAGTCCAATTGTGGCTATGGTTATGGTGCAGCTTTTATTTTGCAAGATTTTTGAGTTCGCTATGAGCATGTGGTGTGATATTCTTCTGTGTCCGCTATGACTTAGTTTCTGTGCGTGCCAAGATACGGCCTTTGACTTGAAAATACCACACCTGCTTTCACCCTCCATAAGCTGGATAGCCAGTGCTAGAAACTCCATTGCTTGTACTCTCTTTCGGAATACATTGGCTCTAAGGTAAGCTATCTTTATTCTACTTCTGATCACAGCGGATACCTGATATGCGCTGGACTGAGTGAAGCCATCTCTCTGCAAC